TGGTGCAACTTCCATGACGACTCAAATTCTCATAAGCACTGGACATAATAACCTGGTGCTGAGGTTATTTTATGGCTCATTTGTTCCTAGTCGCCATTCTGTTGTCCCAGTGCTAGCGACATGACTCGAAGCCCTGAAGCGCGAGTGAAGGGCGTTTACCTCCAGCAGGTGAACCTGTGCCTCATTTCCCTATCAAGCGTGGTTGAGTATTTCAGGACTCTGACTTCTGCTATGCCTTGTCGGATTATTGACCTTGTTTGCTATTGTGTTCATGTATGATTTTTTTTTTTCACCTCTGGTGACCATTCATAGTCACTCTCGTTTTGTTCAATTGATCCTTGTTTAAAGTTTTTTTTTGTTGTTCCAGTATTGCTCTTTGTTTTTGTATTGCTCTTTGTTTTTGAGTGACTGGATTTTTGGATATTTTGTTTGTGTATTCTCAGTGTTCTACTGAACCTTGCCTTTTCAAGCGCTTTTGGTTTCATGCATTTTCAGTTTGTACTTTGTCGATGCGATTTTCTTTCATAAAAAAATTTGTCATCGCACTTTGTATGAGCCTGCAAAACATTACATCATTGGAGTCACCGGCAGAAGTGGCTAGTTGTCAAACACAGGTCTCAATTATCTACCTGTTATTTTTGATCATATTCCACCTGTTTGATGAGACCCATGATTTATACATTGTCAATTTTTTATAACATCCAGAACACCACATAAGGTTGTGTTCAGAGATTTTCAAATTATGCACCATTTGCAACATTTGGGAGCTCTGTATGGGTATACAATGTTCCACTTTCAAACTGACTGCTCGCACCCCACCAACATTTATGACGTATGCCCAAATCAGGTTTGAGTATTGTTACTAATGCATAACAAGTGCATAAACCTAAGCTGGTATGTGGTTGACTATGATGAGTTACATCAGATGCTGCATTGACTGTATATGATTTATAAAACTGATTAGTTTGTCCATTTCCAAACCACAGGTCTGGCAAACGGTCTTGCACCGCATCACTGTGATTTCAGACATAGTTGAAAACTAGCGGAGCAGAGGGCACAGAGACAAAAATACATAACGAAGGGCACTATACGGCAAATAAATGTTGCAAACTGCAAACCCCCCCACAAACACTCACAGAAACCACTTTCCTTCTTCTGAAGCTCTTTTCTGGCCAGAACAAAGCGGTTTCTGCCTCAGTAGTTTGAGAGATTTATCTTACAATACAATGCATTCATAAAACCTTGGCTGCAAGGGAAGTATGTCTGACCTAAGCAAAACTGCACCTTCAAAAGGTTTAGAACAACCTTTGAAAAGCTTTGAAAATACATCTTGAAAATAAGCCTTAATAGGAATCGGTCTCTGTGGAGAAGTCAGGTGGGCAGAGATAGGAGCCGGACACATAAGTGAAGCAATTCTTTGTCGGGTTGGCGTGCTCGAATGGAGACAGTGATTGACAGCCGGTCAGATGAAAAGCACAACACACCACAGGGAGGGCCCCGCTAAACATTTTTCTACTCACAAGTGACAGAAAAAATAAGCACGTATAAAAAATGTCCATTGGCTGAAACATAACGTTGCTTCTTCAGTGCACAGGGAGGGCCCCGCTAAACATTTTTCTACTCACACAGTGACAGGAAAAATAAGCACATATAAAACATGTCCATTGGCTGAAACATAACGTTGTTTCTTCAGTGTCCACAATATTTTGTGTTTCACACGTGAAGAGGGAGAGACCAGATGCTTTACGCTGCCGGGATAGAACACAAGACCCGAACTGGAGTCCCATGTGACACACCACAGGGAAGAGTGTACCCCCCCCCCCCCCCCCGCCTGCAGAGAGACGCTCAGTCCATCCAGGGGTCATTACGAAGCTGTGATCAGGATACAGGACACGCGTACTGCCAAGATGAAGGGCCTCAAGGGATGGTGCGGCGTTCTATTCTGCCATGCTTGTCCATCAGAACAGCACACTCTTTACATCATGGCATTCATCATCGTTGAAACAAGTTTCCAAGGTCATGACTCGCTCCCGGAGTGTCACACTCTTGATAATGCAGCTTTAGTGGAGTACAGAACTACACTATGACTCTCAGCTGAGTGGGTGGGATAAGATTGAGATTAGAAGATTGAAGGAGGCGGGATCAACGATGTTTCTTAACAGCAGCCGGGACATCAATGTGAGGAAAGGGATGGTGCGGCGTTCTATTCTGCCATGCTTGTCCATCAGAACAGCACACTCTTTACATCATGGCATTCATCATCGTTTAAACAAGTTTCCAAGGTCATGACTCGCTCCCGGAGTGTCACACTCTTGATAATGCAGTTTTAGTGGAGTACAGAACTACACTATGACTCTCAGCTGAGTGGGTGGGATAAGATTGAGATTAGAAGATTGAAGGTTTGATTTTGCTTCCTGCAAGGAGGCGGGATCAACGAATGTTTCTTAACAGCAGCCGGAACATCAATGTGAGTGGCTTTGTCAAATAAGCGCGCACATTCACACCCCTATAGGGAACAGGAGAGGGAGGGTGGAGTGCTTGCCGGGTCCATCTGTCATGCCGCCAGGCAGTAAACACAGCAACGTGAGGATGGCCAAGAGGAAGGTCACACGCTTTTACCTTTTGAGTGTTGACCCGACATAATATACAGAGTTATCATCTATATGTTGGACGTGTAACTGTACGACTGTATATACAGTAGGTCGGTCGTATTACTTGTATAGTCCAGTCAAATGCTGTTATTGTGCCCTACAAAACCAAAATCTCAACTTTTGATCATTTATTCACATTATTTCTGCTAGTGATACAGCTACTGTAACGCGCACTATAGGGAACAGGAGAGGGAGGGTGGAGTGCTTGCTGGGTCCATCTGTCATGCCGCCAGGCAGTAAACAGCAACGTGAGGATGGCCAAGAGGAAGGTCACGTGCTTTTACCTTCTGAGTGTTGACCCGACATAATATACAGTTATGATCTACATGTTGGACGTGTAACTGTACGACTGTATATAGAGTAGGTCGGTTTTATTACTTGTATAGTTCAGTCAAATGCTGTTATTGTGCCCTACGAAACCAAAATCCAAACATTTGATCATTTATTCGCATTACTCCTGCTATTGATACAGCTACTGTAACGCGCGTTGTGTTTCACTGAAAATCCTCTCTTCTTAAGTGAATTCCTTACTAAGTGATTAGCAGATGGGTGGCAAACACTATGGTACGGCGTCGATGAAGCATTTCTTTTTTTTAGTTGCCTGTGTCTTGGACTCTCTGTAGCAGGACATTGCCATCCCCAAAGTATCCATTCAAAAAACATTTGCAGCTTGGCCCGTTAGGATGACTAGATATGTGTCACAACGTCAGTCTAACTGTGACATTTTCTGTCTACACATACGCCCGCGGACTTGGATCAGCCACACTCTCCGTTGCCAGCTTTCAGTCCCTGTTAAGCATCTGATACTATGACGGAACGAGACAGCGAGTCACTCAAAAGGCAGAATAAAGCCTGTTTATATAGCCAGTGAGCAAGGGGCTTGAGATAGTGGTGAACAGGTGTAAAGATGAAAAGCTGGGGAAGGGAGATAGAGATGACAAACAAACAGATGCTGAAAATGATATCCGGTTGGCCTCACCTTGCCTCTCCCAGGCTGATCACCATGTACATCTCCCAGGACATATTTTCATCCACGGCTCCATGAGGCACCAGCAGGCTGACTCCTGGAAAACATGGATAAGTGTGTCAACAGAAACAACTCCACCAGCCTGTCTGTGTAGCGCAACATAAGCATTTGCAGATGGTTGTACACACGCATGAGAATATTTTGAGAGTATCCTGGGATATGAAAGAAAAAAATGGGAAATAACAAAACCATATAAGTGAGTGAAGGTGGATTTGATCGTGAGTTTATTCAAACACTTCTGAACATCCCCCTCTCAAAAAAAGATTTGCATTGGGAACGAACATGTTTTTGTGGACTGATCAACACAGCTGATGTCAAATGTGCCAGATCCATCCATCCATCCTTCCATCCCTTTTCTAATCCGCTTATCCTCACAAGGGCCGTAGGTGTGCTAGCTGTCTTCGGGCAGTGGACAGGGTACACCCGAACTGGTTGCCAGCCACTCGAAGGGCACACATAGACAAACAACCATTCGCGCTCACAATCACACCTAAGGTCAATTTAGAGTGGCCACTTAACCTACCGTGTATGTCTTTGGAATGTGGGAGGAAAGCGGAGTACCCAGAGAAAACCCACACAAGCACAGGGAGAACATGCAAATTCCGCACAGGAAGGCCGGAGCCGGAAGCGAGCCCTGGAACCCTGCAACTCTTCACTGTGAGGTGAACGTGCTAACCAGTCGATCACCGTACCGCCTGTGCCTTCATTGCTGATGCCTTATTATTCTGCTTTTGAAAGTCACTGTTATTTGGTATTCTTTGATGGATTCACATTTGTTCGTAAAAAAAAAAAAAAGAAAAAAAGGCATCTTCGTGTTGAAGCAAAAGGTCAAGAGCCTTCATAGTAACGTACACTACAGAGCCTGATTAATCAAGTGCGCCATTGGGGTGCGGTGAGGACTGCTGGAATCTAGGAAGAGCAAAGTGCCAGACTGTAGCAATATGGGATTGCCATTGGTTGCAAAATCTCACCTGAAAATATCTGTTTTATCACTGCCTTCAATGGTGACATGCTTAGTTTTCCTATGTCTGCAATGGTTGCAATAAGTGTCGTGTTCTTCTCGTCTTCCCGAACCTCTGGCCCTATAAATCATCTTTGCCATCCTTCCAACTGTAACCCGGATTATGGCATGAGGCAATAGGGAGTAGACATAACCAATTGAAGGATCATAGGGTTCTTTCATTAGTTAAAAAACATAAATATAATCTATATTGACTAAAAGAGTAGCGTCGTTAAAATTGTCTGAATTAAACAGAACTGAATATTGCCATGGCCCTAGCGAATCAGGGCACAGAATACTAGTGGGGTGTCAACCAATGAGAGGTGTCGTTTTTCACCTTGGTGACGTCAAGAACTTGCTGCGCAACCTGTCTCGCTCTCTTTTCTGACGGGGCCTGAACGCGAGCGGTCGTATTCTTCGGCTGTTGTAAAGAGGTGCTTCGGGAGAAAGAGAGAGTCGTTCTACGCAGTGAGTGTGCTCAGAGGCTTGAACGTTATACTCATTTCGTTTAAAATCACCTGTTGCTAAAATATAGTCACCTTCCTTAGACCTCGAGCACTGCTCCTGGCTAACGTAGCTGTTAGCTTTCCGTACCGCCGGGATTTCGCCGACCGTATAACGTCGTCGGAGTCTCGTTCAACATTCTTCTGGTGAGTGTACATGAATGTTAATACTGTACTTGGAATTAAGTACTTGATGGTAACTACTGTAGTTATTTTATTGTCGGCGCTCGTGTGCTCTCGGCCCTATTAGGCCGCGTCTTTTGCGGAGTTCTGATTGAGGACAGCGCTGGGATTCTTGTGCCTTCAGTGGAGTGGATTCCATTATGGTGCCTTGACTTCCGAAAGTGCTGGAAAAGGGGTACAGTGGTGGTGGCGAGCCAACCAAAGAATATATATTACATTTGATAAACGTTTTATTTTATTTGTGACCCCAACGTGATGCCTGCTGGGTGAGAAGCATGGTCCTAGTGTCTGCCAATTGGTAATGTTTACTGGAATTTATTTTGTACAAGAGTTGACGAGAACATTTTGTGTTTAGTTATTTCATTCAGATTGAGAAAAAAAACAACCTCACACCGGTGTTGAGAAAGGTGATCACAAATTATTTTTCGTTAAAGGAAAGGTCAACCAAGAGGTTGAGACTAAGTTGGATTTATTTACTTTTTCACTGTGTTTTTGTGACAATAATTTTGTTGTCATGTGTTTATGTTTGATATAAAAATTACTTGTTTTTACACCTGTTGTCTTGTTTCTTTGCCCATGCTACCCCCTCAATTTTGACATCATTGGCTCCAGTGAATCGAACCTAGTGTCCCCTTACTGGTCCAAATAGAAACCCGTTGTCTCCAACAATTATAAAACAGACGTAGCCCTTGTTACACAACTGTTTGCAATCCAAACTTTGTTGGCAGAATCTTGACCAATGCCTGACCCCAACATAAGATTACTCCACATGTTCAAGTTGTTGTACAGGGATGCGCAATATATAGAATTATATATAATATTTGCCCTCCCACCAGCTCTCCATCAATGAGAGAGTGGTGACGCAATGGCTAAAACAGGGATGAGATTTTTCCGCGTTTTGGCGGAATTCCGCTTTTTTTCCAGTAAAAATGGACCTAATTTATATTGTTCCAAATCCGGAAAAAAAATTCTGGTATGTGGAAGGGGGTGGGGGGGTGTCCGGACTTGTCTTCGGCAGATTCGGGCTCGTAATGTTTACAAGTAACGTTTGCAAGCATCCATTTTGAATCCCGTTTTTTATCGCGAAGCGTTAGTTTGTCGTTACTTCCGATATGGGCTAAAACCAATGTCTTACTTGTTGTGATTGGTCGCTATATCGGAAAATGCAAATCACAACCAATCCGTGTTCGCCTTCCGAAACCCCTTTCTCGCGAATACCGAATGTTATCGAGACTCGCGGCGAAGCTTAAGTGCGTCAGATAGATGCGGATCTAAAAAACACGTTTCGATGGGACTGGTTGGATAGAGAGCTGAATGTGTCCCCAGTAGGAAACAGTAAAGAGGAACCATTGTGCTTGTGTCGGATTTCTGAAAAAGCTCGATGTCGCCGGTAAAGCTCTGTGTACAGTGTGTGATGATGTCATTCTATACGGATCGAGAGGATGGAAAGCTTTACAGAGTCACGCAACCTCGGTGAAACACCGAAAACAGACATTTCTACTGAAAACATGAAACTGTATATTGTTGTATATACTGTAAATAGACTTTATATAATAAAATACATTCAAAACCCATATATAGTAAACAGTGTGGGACTTCACTATCACTGTATGAGGTAAGAATCAACAGCGTTTTATCACATTTACACACCACTTTATGAATACAAGTAATGAACAAATCTGAAAGATGGCAGGGAATGTGTTTCCTTTTTTAGTTTTGATTTTGAGCAGCAAATTTGAAGTTACGTATTGGTGCTCACCAGGAATGCATAAGCAAATTTGCACTAATTTTCACTTGAAAGAATAGTGAAAAATCTTGGGATTTTTTTCTGTTAAAGTTTCAAATAGTGTGTAAATTGAATCCACTTCATCTTCAGCATGTTAAGTGCCACTTGAGTTAATGGCCACGCCCCCGTCCCGGCCACGCCCCCGTCCCGCCCACGCCCCTTTCGGCTTTTTTCATCACGAGCCACTCTCATCCCTGCTAAAAACAGCGAAAGGATAGCTTAACCAAAAAGACTACTCGGGAAAACTAGGAAGCAGCTGATCCGTTCACAGAATTTAAAGACAAACCAATATGCCTGCTTGTTTAGAGAGATTTTTTTTTTTTTTTAACCAGAGCCACAACCCTAGAAGAAGCCAGCTGCACTCATGCTAACTTAGGCTGTGGTGTTTGCGAGCTGGCGAAATCAGAGAAACCCTTGTCAGATGGCAACATTGTGAACAGGCGTGCCACGGAAATGACCAGAGCTTTTTGATAACATTGTTAGGAACGTTGATAGGTTTTGTTTGTTTCGTCACACAGTTGTCAAACTTCTGACATTTGCTATCACGTCAAAGGGAAGATTAAAGAAGTAATGAATGACTGCGAATACTCCGTGGCCTTGGATGAAAGTACAAATGTGACGGATGTCAGACAGCTGCTTATTTTCGACAGAGGCGTTAACAGGAGGTTTGAAGTTCACGAGGAGCTACTCTAATTGGTCTCTATGCACGGTACCGCCAAGGACATGGACATATTCAATGCTGTTTCAACTGCCTATGTTGGTTTGGACAAGATATCATCTGTCATCATGGCGTACCCGTAAATTCTGAGACATTAAACTTATGCAACATTATGACGTGGCTGACTAAAGGTGACTTCAGAAAACGAATCTGAGAAGAGAACAGATTCCTCAGTCACAGGAGAGGTGTTGGATGGAACGGACACAGCATGGTGGGTTCTACTAATGCACATGAGGTCTGTTGGATGAGTCTGGGGAAGAGTCTGGAGCTTTTTTTGTTTGTTTTTTTGTGCTGCACTCTGGAATTGCAGTGTTTTTGGAAGATAGCATTTGTGGTAATGTGAATCCTTCCTCCAGGGAAGTCAAAGACACAGCACATCAAAGACATGACATTCCTTCATACCTCAAATGACCTGAACACAAAGTTGTTGGGCAGAGACGAAACCTGTGGGTGACCTGTGCTCAACACATCCAAGAAATTCAGTACAAATTAGACCTCTTCCAAGAAGACTTTTCTTCCCATCGTCCGAATGTGATGATGATCATAAAAAAATGTCCCAGAATGCGAAGACTTAACTTCACAAATATAAGACCGATACTGAGAGACTGCGGGAGTGGCTCAAGCATCGATTCCCTTGAACTGCAACCACAAATCGCACTTTTCGTAGAGCCTCTCTCCACTGATGTCAGTGAGCAACGTTCTGAACTGCAGCTTGAACTTTGCGAGCTGCAGTTAGAGACTTTTTTCAAGTGAGGCACATTGCGAAGGGAATTTCATTTTGGAATCTGCTACCCCAATGTTCGTTCCCACTCCTCTAAAATTGGCTCTCTCACTGTCCAGTATGTTTTAGACCGTGATAGAAAGACTGTTTTGGGGTAGGGGCAGTGAAGCACAAGTCAAAACAGAGAAACAGGCTCACAAATGGCTTTTTCATTTGATGAAAAGTGGATGCACAAATATTGTCACTGAAATCCACTGTACTGTGCACTAACCAGGGATGGCTGCAGGATTTTTTTTTTCTCTCCCGGGGCTACAAGGAGGGCTTGACCAATACGTAAGGGAGCTGAGAAAAGAATGTATATTTCAGAATATGAAATAAAATGCTGGGGCTATACAGATTTCTGGTGGCACTATTGGAAAAAAATGCTCAAAGTTGTTGACTTTAATAGGCTGTTGTTCGGCAGTTTGGTGTAAACTTCAAATGTTCATTGTAATGTATGAGAGCCCCTTTCACTTTAGTAAACACTCATAATATCAGGGTTTTTTTTTTTGTTTGTTTATTTAAACCCTTTGTCTTGAATGAGCAGATCTTTTGAATACACTTTTGAGTACGACGTTATTGCAATAAATGCACACATTTGGTCTTATTTAAAATGGCAGATCACGGTTAGGAAGTGTGCGGTCCCATGCGATAATCATTTCTGCACTCCTTCATCATTTATTGTGAGTTGCCCATCGCTGTTCCAGTGCATGTGTTGCAGACCCCCGAGCATATTGTCAGTGAAGGGGAGTCTGTATGCTCTTCCTGGGAAGGTGACTTTGCAGTCTCTCGCTGACATGCTCAATTTCATTGAACATGACCTACAGGCAAGACTAAGCACTCATTTCCCAAGTACTGTATGGCATTTTAAAAATGTTCATGTTTTTCAGAGAGCATCTGTCAAAGGTATAAACATTTGAGGTAATTAGGAGAACCCTACCATTGATTTTTGCGCACACGGTTTGAATAAAAAGCTTCATTTCCTCCACTGAAATGTGAAATATCGGAGGCCTGTTCTTCAACTGTTATGTCTCAGAAAGTTTTACCCTTCTGAGAAGAGTGCTTTAATATATATCATACATCTCCCAACAGAGACCTGAATAAGGATAAACACATATTAAAGAAAGTCTGATGAAACAATGTCTGGCTGAAATTTAGCTGCAAATATTGTCTGTCTGAATCAGACATGATGCGTAAACAATTTATTAGTTTTGATCCCCCATGAGCGTGATCCACAGATCACTTCTGGTTTTGCAACAACAAGCAATTGATAACACAGTACTTGCAAACTTGCAACCCCCCCCCCCCCCCCCAGGTATCCGAAAGTAAGGTTGATTCACAAAACTCACCATATAAAAGCTCATTTGTTCAAATGTTGGCATCCACTAGTTTAAGGGTAAGACTCAATTGATTTTGCTAAATCTGACAAGGTTTAGCAAAATCTTGTGTAAATACTGTGCATCAGTGGTGTTGTTTGTGATCCCTCTTAAGGTACGAGAATAGAGCTGCATTCATTTTTAGGACTGTATGGGGTGCAATTCTAACCTGATCTTAAAAACGTGGATTGATAAGGAACAACATTACTGATATTCAAAAAGAATAAAGCTGAGGTCAAACCTTACACTGCCTGTCTTCTACCTTTCAGTTTGAGACGTCTCAAACACAATTTTTTTGCGAGTGCTGGAGATGGAGTCGGCCATGTCTGCGCCACATCAAGTATTCCAAAAAGGGGTTCAAGTATTCCAAAAAAAAAAAAGCACAACTAATCCAATCTTCTCAACAGATATTAACACATTCGAACATTAATGGTTCTTTAGAACGTGAAAAAGATTGGTGACCCGATCCTCTCACTTACCGCTCACGATACTTTGGATACTCCGAAGCATGTCGAGTGGAGTAATGATGTCTGATGTATTGAGAACCACAACTTTCTTTTTGCATTCAAGATTTGCGGGGTGGCCTTGTGCTCAACCA